TTTACTGTAGGTTTTTAGAATGGACTGACTGTGTGGACACACATTTAGATGAAGTCTTATCTTGTCCCATAGTTGTGGTTTCCACTGTTAAAACTGTGGAGCCTAAATGGTCTCACTCATCAATTACTGCAGTTTGGTCTGTGGTCTATAATATGTAAAGTATCCCTCTAGTGTCATTTCTGGACTTGCTCACCATCGAAATCAGGCTAAAATATAAAACTGAGAAAGTCCACTAACAGAAATGATGGGGTGGACGAATGGCCCAAACACCAGACCAGCACTTTAACCCAGGAAACTGTTATTCGTAAACCAAAAGTAGTTTCTTTTATGTAACATACTTAAGTTATGTCAGGTATGAAACATAACTTACAATCTTTTTATAATCCTAACCAAGCAGTTTTTGTGCCTAACCTTAACCAAACTGTGAACGATTCACAACATTAACCACAAAAGCTTTAATTTGAAAGTCTAACCCAATGTGGCATATTTATTATCTTTAACCAGACAATGGATATTTATTCTTGCTAACTTGACTGCAGAGCCCAGCACGTCCAGAAATGACACGTCCCAAGATGACGATGTAGGGTTATCTACAGGGGAGGGCCACTGACCAAACAGCAGTATTTGACACGCTGGGAGCGAGAACATGCGTAGCCAATAGATGAATGGATGGATGATGAACAATTTGTACCTGTGATTTGAACAAATATCTACATTGACAATCAGTATGTTTACATGCACACAAGTATCCCCATTACAGCAAGGTCTCCAGTATTCCAGTATATGTGTGTTTGTGCATGTCAACATCATCTACTGCTTTCAGAAGCTTGTATAAACTTTTTGGGAAACCTCAATTTGTTAGCTGGAGTACTCCAATAGAAAGAAGGACCAGATCTTTTTTGACATTCTTTGACAAACCCTCTACACAAGTACAGGACTAAGTAATGAAACAATCATGTTTTCACCCATGACACACACTGGGACATTATGGTTTTTGACATTTCAAGCTTGGACGTCCTGCTTCCTCTCATTATAAGTCAAATGTTTTTCATTTCTCAGTTTCACTTCACATTGTGCCTTCTACCAACCATGGCCTTTTATTGTCTACACTTTGGATATACCGTATTTTCCGGACTATAAGTCGCTCCGGAGTATAAGTCGCATCAGTCAAAAAATGCCTCATGAAGAGGAAAAAAACATATATAAGTCGCACCGGACTAAAAGTCGCATTTATTTAGAAATGTATTTCCCAAAATCCATGACCAAGAACAGACAGAGACTATTTAACTGGACATATAGTGGCCAAAAAGATTGACAATTCTACCGGGAATGTTAATGAAGACGAAGGAGTGAAATGAGGAGAGCTGGGCGATATGAAGGCGGCCAATTTACAAAAGATTCACTGAACAAAAATGCTGACGTGGTACATGAAAATTTAGCTAAAAATGTGGAGAATGCAATGCAATCAAGCATTTTGGGCGATGTCTAGGCAAACGCCGGCAGCAGAGCAAATACTCGGGAGGCTACCTTATTTAGAAATTTATTTTACAGCATCCAAGACCAAGAACAGACATTCAATCAGGAAATGCAAGTTAAACACAATAGCACACAGAAATTAACATAACACGCCACCGAGTCCAACAGGCAAGTTACCGGTAGCAAGTTCACCATCCATTAAATTCTTCGTCCTCCGTAGGGGTAGGCCTACATAGTTGAATAACAGCTCTGGTTGTCACAAGCCTAGAGCGCCTTCTCGCGGCTGTGGACGGTAATGTTTAGGCTACTCCTCGTTTGATGTCGGAATTATCATTCAAAAACATGTTAAATTTCATATATAAGTCGCACCAGCCAAACTATGAAAAAAAGTGCGACTTATAGTCCGGAAAATACGGTACCTTTAACTGTCTCTCAATAATACTGTTGACTCGTGTAAGAATGGAGCTGAATAAAGAGGTGAGACTCAAAAGGGGGATACTTGTGCATGTAAACTTCCAAACGACAAACCTGACAGGATTACTGACAGCAACATACAAATATCACACCAAAAATAACCTGACAATGTTTGTTGGCCAAACAGACGTTCAACATCTCCCAAAGCTTACAGTGTGTTAGCTTTCCTTTTCAAGGCTTGATGTGAGCGTGTGCTGCCAATTCATTTCTAAACTACTCCTCTCACTGCTCCTCTCCCTCCATCACCCTCCCCACGTCTTTCATCCTATTCTCACTCCGCTCCACACATCCTTTACTCGCACTCCCACCGGGCTGATACTGGCCCCGTATCAGCAGATGACCTCAGTCACTGATCCACTCGCTGCCTGTCTGTCATCCGCTGCTAAATATGGAGCATGACCGGAACCGAGGGGAAGAGAGAGGGGGGAGAAAAAGAAAGACAAATTAAGCTAGACAGAGACAAAAGAGTGAAAGTGAGAAAGCAAAAAAGGGGAGGAAAAGATTGGAAAAAGAATGAAATGGAGAACAAAGGGAGGGGGAAGCTGGCAGCCAGATCCACCAGGCCTTGGCAGATCCAAGTTCACCTCAAACAGAATTAGAAGAACCACTGACTCACACCTGAAGAATGCTTTACTACTTTTTTATTGACTTAACTATTGTGTGTGTGTGTGTGTGTGTGTGTGTGTGTGTGTGTGTGTGTGTGTGTGTGTGTGTGTGTGTGTGTGTGTGTGTGAGAATGACACAGAGCGAGGGAGAGAAACCGAACAAAGAGAGATTGCGTGTCTGAAGGATGAGAGAATGAACATGAGTTTTGGAATAATTCAACCTCTAACCCTGGTAGTGTTAGTGCCTTGCTCCAGATCAGCTGAGAGCAATCCCACCAGGTCCATTCAGACCCAATTGAACTCAGATCAGATCAAATTCAGGACAGAGAGATCAGGACAGAGGAGAGACACAGTGTGAGTGTGTGTGGGTGATGATGGCTTTCACACAGGCAGTGCACAGCAGAGAGAGGGTCACCTTGCAAGGTGCCCATATCAACAAGTCACAACTCGAATGTGAGAATGCCAAAACACACACACACACACACACACACACACACACACACACACACACACACACACACACACACACACACACACACACACAGCAAGAGGGTACAGGTCGGGCGACGATCAAAGGTTGTACTCAATATCACTTCCTTCCTCTACACAGTAGAGCTGCAATGATTAATTGATTAGACGATCAAAAGACAATTAGTTGCCAACTATTTTCAGAACCGATTGATCATAAAAATATCAAACATTTTCTGGTTCCAGCTTTCTAAATGGGAGGACTTGCTGCTTTTCTTTGTCATTTATGATTCTAAGTGAAGTCTTTGGGTTTTGGATGTTGGTTGGACAAAATAAGCAATGTGTTAATAGCTTTCATATCAACATCCAAGTCATAATTAGGACTGGGAAACTGTGTTTCTCTGATAGCTGTGATATATCTGACAAGACTCTGACTAAGTGCCTAACCAAACTAAACAAAGTCTGTCATTTGATGTGATTAATGTTGCAAGTCATTAACACAATTAACTGCCCACTACAGAGTTAACTATTGAATGACAGACAAAGCCAGAGTTCATTTATAAATTATTATTATTATTATTATTATTATTTCTTTTATTTGAACAGGGACAGTGCACAATAAAACATTAACCCTGTATATAACAAGGACAGATGCATTACACCGGGTTTTAGCAAATTGCTATTTTCCACCCGTAGTCCCTGGGCAGGTAGATGGAACACACAATAATAAATACATTTACAAGATATGCTGGCAGTTTATAACTGTTCATCTTCATCGTTATTGTTCTTTTTGATTTCTTCTTTCTTATACTTATTTGTATTGATGTATTGACTTAATCTGTGCTTTATTGTTTGGACTTTTACATCTACAAATTTAAAAAAAGCCAAATTATTAATTGTCTTCATATGGTGTTGGGCCACTATGAGCCTCCAGAACAGCTTAAAGCTTGTGAAAATCTATATTTTCCCTCCATTAGTGTTCTGGTGAGGAGTGTTAAACTAGAAAATAAGCAGTCCGTCATAGAGAGGGGAAGGGGCGCCATATCAGTTGAATACGTAGCCAACAGCACACATATTCAGGCAGTCTCTCTTGGAAGTCGTTTAACACTTGGTTGTTGACATGAAAAGTGACACAAATAGCCGTGCTGAGAACAAAAAAAAGAGAACCAGAAAGAGAGGTTCAGTTCCTTGCTCCTTTCTGGATGTGAATGTCAGGTTCTTCGGTTTCGCAGAGTTACAGCAGTGATCTTCCCCTTCAGTTAGCCCTGCTGCCACTATGGGAGCATCTGTGTTCAGTTGTCTGGTTGCCTTTCATGACATAACAATGCATTGTGTACCAGCTGCCCTTCATCTGAACTGCTTACCAAAGTGGTCGTCATTGTTTGGCTCATCCAACTGATACTAAAGTTAGATGTTTACGTCTCTGTGTGTGGTCATGTATTGGGTGGATATAAAAGGCTCCACCTTCGTCTTTCTGTTCAGAGCATCCACATTGTGTCCCTGTCTGGGCCTACAGCTGTCACTGTGCACCGACATACTCGTAAAGACATTCAAGGCTGTGTGTAAGCAAGTCCGTGTTCCTGTGTTTGAATGTGAGAGTGTGTGTGGGCAATTCGTTCTAATTAAATCCTTGAACGAGCTTTTGCGGTGAACAAGTTCCAAACCTTGGCCAACAGCTGGCCTGCATTAATACGGCTCTGTGTATACACGTGTGTGTGTGTGTGCGATGTGTTTTCTAGCTGTTCCAGATCCCCCATTATTACCTGAGGGAAAGAGTGGCCTTGTATGGGGAAGAAAAACAACTGAGTGTGCAAGGTTCTGTCTGAGTGCATGTGTGGGTATGAGTCTGTGTAAGGCACTGATAGATCAGTGGTGAAAAACAGATTAATGATGAATTAAGAAAAATAACGGAAAGGTAAGTAGAGGGATTTTTAAATGTTAAGGTGTTTCATGTTTTATGTGGTTCTTTCTTCTTACCTTCTCTGCAGGTCCATCTCCTCTGGTGTGGGGCCATTCTGGACCTGGGGTGCCTGTCTGGGCAATGTGGGGCCTGTAGAGGGCGACACACACAGACAGCCTTCCTGTTAGCTGACATCATCACTCTGACTGACACACAACTCCTGGTGCGCTCTTTTAATAAAGAAATAGATCAACAGTCAAAAACACACAGAAACTGAATCATATCATACAAGATCAAAATTGATTTGGTATTTTTGTAACGAGACTATTCCCCGACCTGTCAAAAGACAAAGTTACATCGAGCCACCGGTGCAGAGAGCTGCAGAAAAAACTCCAAATCAGGAGGAAACGAGGAGCTACTGCTGGTTGTCATGGCAACACAGTATTTGGCAAAAGATCTGCAGGTTATTTAGTTAGTAGGTCTCAGGTGCATAGGGTTGTCTAGAGTTTTTCTCCTCTGAAGTCACCAGTCATTTATGTGTTTATGTGACACTTAACGTGAAGGAGCATTTATCTTTCTACAGTGGTGAAAAAATTATTCACACCGAACCTCAAACGCACTACAAGGAGTTTTCAACTGGTTATAAAACAGTCTAAATTTAATAATGATGCCCCATACCATCAGAGAGGAGATTTGCTGTTTCTATACAGTGGCAGAGAGATAAGGGGGGCTTCTTGGGCTTCAGCCCCGAATGCTTTCTCAACAACCGCAAATCTTTTAGGCTTTTAAAATAACTTTTTATTTTCATTTCCCCTCCGTCTCTCTGACTGGACCGGCGAATCAATCGGGCGAAAGTTCTATTACTGGGGAAATATCACCATCTATGGGTCCATCCTAACATTGTCATGGGGGGTTGCTGTCTTGTGAGTCCGTCTTGTTACCTCAGTGAGCAACCTAGCTAATTATCTTAGGGACTTTGGACACGCCCCTGTTCCTATACAGTTATTCTTAATGCTGCCACTGGGTCGGATTTGTTGTATTCCCCTTAAATTCAGAGAAATAGGGTGGTTTTGTCCACAGGGACCGCCAGAAGCAACACAAAACAAAAGTTCTTGTAGGGGCTTTAAGTAAAAGTAGCAATACCACATCGACTGAAAAACTGAATTTCAAGTCTGCAAGTATGAGCAGTGCAATGCCTTGCTGCAGAGAGGTTGCTATGTAGTCACATGTTTCATATAAGGTCCACACATATATAAGCAGGACATTAAGTGAGCCATATAATCAGATTTTACGCTCATTCCCTCCGCGTACACCACTGACTGAACTCCCTCCACCTCCCCAGCCTCCGCCTGCAGTAGCATTTAGATTTATGGGAATACAGAATGTTCATTCAGATGTTGTGGATCTCTCGAAAATGGTGCAAGAAATGGTAAAAGAGTCTTGACTGAACAGAATTAACAGTATACACCATGAAAAATGATTATTGATGCATTAATATGGATAACATATTTATGCCATGTTTTAAGGCGCTCAGCTCAATCGACAGAAAGTTCATCTGCAACTACTTTGATAATTGATTTGTCATATCAGTCATTAAGCACATATGCAATTTTCTGGTCCAGCTTGTCAAATAATGGAAAATGGTAAATATTTTCTGGTTTACTGGTCAACTTGGGCTCAGAGAAATTGTGATGGGCATTTCTTTTTTTCCTGACATTTGAAACTCAATACTTCTCGAGTACAGAATGTGTCTGCTGTATTATCACATGTCAAAACTACTTAAAGTTGATTGTGCAGACAGACTCTTGTTTACTTGTTTCTTCATCAGATAATTTATTCATCATCTTTTAAAATTGACACTGTTAATTTACACCTTGTAAGGTTGTTTGTGTTTAAATAGTGACTTAGAAGTTTGCTTTATATAAGTATTAAAAACAAATGCTGGCTTGCTGTTAATTTTTATGTATGGCAGTGGTAACTCTTTTCTAATTCTTTTCCACATTTTGTCTGCATGTTGCTTCCTGTTAGAGGTACTAGATGCCAGCTTATGAAAGAAAACTGAGCAGGTACAACAGGTGTTAGTGTTTCACATGTAGACAGGCTGACAGACAGGATGGAGTCACAATAAGGGCCTAAACCGAAGGATCAACACAAATACTAGAGCTGCGACATTTAGTCGATTAACTATTCAGTTTGTCATCAACTATTTTGATAATTGATTAACCGTTTAGAGTCATTTTTTAAGAAAGAATTCACTTATTTCAGCTTTTCAAATGTGAATATCTTGTGGTTTCTTTTGTCCTCTATGACAGTAAACTGAATATGTTTGGGTTTTGGACAAAACAGGGATGTTTAAGGAAGTCAACCTGGACCCTGGACAACATAATCCCCCCTTTTTGAGTCAAACAAAGGGCCAAAGGTCGAACCCATAGCCACTGCAGCAAGGACCCTGCCTTGGTAGCTCACCTGGTGGAGCTGGTACCCCATCTTTCACCATTTTCTGACATTTTATGGACCAACCAAACTAATCCATAATGAAAATAATCGGTAGTTGCAGACCTAATATTAACACATTAACCTATGACTGAGTGGCTGGTTTAGAATAGAGGAAACGACAAAGATGAAAGCTCAAAACAGTAAAATTAAACTAAATCCATGTTTTTGTGCACAGTCTGAGCATAAACCCTGAAACACAGAAAACACACACTGATGTACTATCGGCAGCCTCTGGCACAAGAACAAGAGACACCCAGACATCACTGTCTAATTTACACTTGCTAATGAGCTAACTTTTCTGCAAAACCTGAGCAGGACCAGATGGACCAACACGGTACTCCTTCCCCCTCTGTGTACCAAACATACACACAAACACACCAGAAGCTTCTGGATCTGGATGGAGCTGAAAAGGGAGCAGATTTCGACTACAATTAGTATTCAGCTAAGTGTTAACTGTCTGAAGAGACAGACAGAGATAAAACAGGCAGAATCTGGGCTGCAGCCAGGGCTGACGACTGCTTCTGAATACCAACGTGCTCGCACACATTGCCCCCACTTAACACTGTCACTGACATTGGCATCAGATACTTTTACACAACAGAAGAGAACAGGGTTGGCCACGTCTAAGTCAAAACAATTAGAGCAGTGTAACAACAGCACTGTTTGTTTTTTTCATTTTTTCAATTATGTACTTTCTGTTGAATTTAAGACCTGTGGATTGTCAGTGGGAGCAAATTCCTGCCACCAGCAAATGTGAACCATAAGACACAAGAATGGTGATATGACGCAGAATTGCCTAAAACCATAAAAGAACAGCTGAAGCACAAATTTGTTTTTGTTGAGTGTTAAGGCAGGGAAACCAAACTCCTGGAAATGCTGTGACTGTTCACACAAAAAATGCAAAAGGACGCACCAACTCATCTGGGAGGGAAACAGAAACACACACACACACACACAAACAATAAAAGAAGCTCTGTGGGTTTCCTTTGGTGTGACCTTGGCTAATTATATGAGTATGTGCAGAACATGACCAGAGTTACTGGAAACAAGCCTACCAGCCATCAGTAGGGTCAGCACAGAAAATCCTTTCTGATGAGTCAGCACGGGGCCCTGAACCATCATGAATATATCAGTTAGTTTTCCTACTGATATCACATGACAGGACTGTGAAAAGATTTGATCAGACATAGTTTCTAAAATAGGTTTATCTTGTGTTCTTCTATCTCAGTTCCTCACTGATAACAGAAGTCTCTCTCCTAGTGTTTTGTTGTAATGTGGACCGCCAGGAGTAGTAAAAAGAGGGTCAGTGAACACAAGTGTGACAGTTGTGTACTGTAAACTACGTCTAACTGTGACTCCACTATTTATGTCTCTTTTTTAAAAAACCCCGAGCAGCAAACATCTTCAGGGGAAGCTGGAGGTTCAGAAAGCTGTGTGTGTGTGTGTGTGTGTGTGTTGACTGGAAACCAATCAATGAGGGGATGACTCACCAACAGCACTTAACAGGTGTGTGTCGTGATGATGTCGTGATTTACACACACACAAGCGCACACATACACACGAAGGGGATTTGATTCCTAGACCTTTTTCACAGCAGCCATTTTGACATTAAATTATAGGGTAAACACAGGTGTTACCAATGATACTAATTAAGGTTTAGTTCCATTCAGTGTAGTAGAGCCTTTCCAGTGAACCAACATGCACAATAGCAGCACCCTGACGACTTTTTCATGTCAAAATGGCTGCAGTGAAAAAGGTCTATTCTGAAAAATGCTATTAAACCCCAACCCAATCATTCAATCTGAATTCCTTTTGGGGGTTTTTGCTTTATAATTGAGGGGCTCTTGTCTTCACTCCTGCAATTTTATAGACTAAACAGTTAAAAAGTAACTTTATTATACGTATTTTTCCACCTGGACTATTTTATGTATATATTTTTGTGTCTAAAAGACAAATGGGAACAGCAATGTTCAAAGTCCAGTATTGAGAGAGAACTGCAACTGGCTACAACATAACCCTTATGGGCAAACGTGCAGGTCGATGTATATCCACTAAAAGTGCTGGTTTTTGCTACTGAGGCTCAGATTGTTATGATGAAGTGTTTGACAACATTATGGAAAGGACCCTACAGAGATAGACCATTTTGTGAAAGAGTAATATCCCTTTTTGTTTAACCAGAAACAGCAGTTATATCGAAGCCGAAATAAACCCTTAATAGACCTTTTTCACAGCAGCCATTTTGACATTTCGTGTATCAGAGCCTTTCCAGTGAGTCAACATGCACAATAGCAGCACCCTGACTCTGTTTGACCAGAATGGAATGTAACCTTAATTAGAATCATTGGTAACACCCTACTATTTTATGTCAAAATAGCTGCTGTGAAAAAGGTCTATTCACCGAATTATATGTGAAAAGATTCTGTCTGTACCCGCCCATCCTGGTCCTTTTACAATGGCACTGAATAACACAGAAAGAGAATAATGTACGGCATTGGCCACATCTCCAGGGAACACAGAATAACCATTTCTACATCTACCTCTCTATCTGCCATGATTATCCAAATCATCTCATCTTATTACCATCTTGATGGTTTCCTTCTTGTATGGGCTGAATTGAAATACTATTGAATTAAGCCGAGTCCACAGGCAGTCAA